CAAATATTTTGTTTTTCAATTTTTTGTTTTTCCGATGAAATCGATTATGGATTTTGATAACCAAGCGCTTGGTTCGAGCCACTGTTCAACCGATGATCGAGTATAATCGATGATCGTGACATCACTAAGCGCTTGGTTCGAGCCACTGTTCAACCGATGATCGAGTATAATCGATGATCGTGACATCACTAATTCACAGGTGACATGTACGTGAGCGTGGAGGGTCAGCCCGAGCCGGACTGGGTAGCGCAGGAGCGAGAGCAGTTTGGCAAGTTTCGTGACACGGACGGGGACGGTAAGATGGGCGTGGAAGAGGTGAAAGCCTGGATCCTGCCGCCGGACTTTGACCACTCGCAGGCCGAGGCGCGACACCTCATCTTCGAGGCGGACGCGGATAAGGTGAGGAACCGTTAATTAACTGTTAAGATAATTATTAGTGAGAATAATTACCCTAACCCTAACCCTAACCCTAACCCTAACCCTAACCCTAACCCTAACCCTAACCCTAACCCTAGCCCTAGCCCCATTATAACGCGATGGTTGGGGTCCATGAAATGTCATCGCGAAAAAAGCGGGGTCGCACTAAATCGGGGTTATATATACGTGGCTATATAAGAGCAAAAAAGGGGGGTCCAATGACTGATCGCGTTATATCCGAATTCGCGTTAAATCGGGGCGCGTAAAATCGAGGTTCCACTGTACCAATAATTAGCTGTGTGTTCTTTTATAAACTGGTATCTGATCCATAGAAGTGGTGGTTTCAATGTATTACTGCCATATCGAAATCGCAAAGCCTCAATTCCTTTATGTCTCGATGCGTCAATTCCTTGACATCTCTATATCTCTATATCTTGATGCCTCATTGCCTTGATATTTCTATATCTCTATATCTCGATGCCTCTATCCCTCCATGTCTTGATGCCTCAATGCCTCGATATGTCGATATCTTTTTATCTTGATGCCTCAATTCCTTGACATCTCTATATCTCTATATCTTGATGCCTCAATTCCTTGACATCTCTATATCTCTATATCTTGATGCCTCAATCTATCCATGTCTCGATGCCTCAATTCCTCGACATCTCTATATCTTGATGCCTCATTGCCTTGATCTCTATTATCTTTTCGATTGTTCTATCTGTGATGTCCCGATGATCGATTATAATCGAAAATCGATCGATTATAGTCTTCAAATTCGATAACAAATTGATGAAAACAAAAGATAATCGGATTATTCAAATATACCAAAAAAATGAAAAATAATAAAAAAATTACTAATCGCCACGATGGACATGTATCGATAGCGAAAGTAGAAGTTGCACTCAGTGTGTAGATCGAAGGACACATGAATCACTGTTTAACAATAGGTCCTGTCTGACTTGCAGGCCCGGTACTAGTGTTACTTATAGACATGGACAATTGGACAAGTGGTCTTTGGTTTTGGTTTGACACGATGTCCACAGATGTTATCCATTAGATGAGAATTCTACTCTCCGTATTGTTTTTACTTGTGTTGGAGAGGATATTCCTTGGCAGGACATTAAATGGCTACCGCACTTACAGCTATTTAGAACACAAACCAACTTACTTACTATAATAAAGAACAAGTCTTGATCATGTTTGTTAAAACTTTTAATGTTTTAATAAGAAGCATTTTAAACCATTTATTTTAAAATTGAATAAATTACCGCGTACTGTATAGGAACAGACATTGACATTACATACAGCAACCTTTCACAGAGGTTATACAGGATATAAAACATGATTAATATTGATGCCTATGTATAATCTAGTCATATACAAAGTACAGATTAAATTCAATCTATGCTATTATTAACCGATTATCCGGATATATAATCGATTATCGATCGGTAGAGCGCGAAACACAATAATCGATGTATGAACATTCCAGCCGATTCCCATCACTATTCCTATCCTCCCTTATGTCTGATGCTCAATTTGCTTTATTATCGATATCTTTTTATCTTGATGCCTCGATTCTCGATTTTTTATCTCAGCTTTCAAACTCGTGTGCGTGTCTGTGTTTGCAGGATGGCCAGCTGAGCAAGGAGGAGATCATCGAGAAACACGACCTGTTCGCTGGCAGCCAGGCGACGGACTTCGGCGAGGCTCTGTCTCGACACGACGAGTTCTGATGATCGACCTGCGACCCCGCGCGCGCGCGTCTTGAGCGAGACCTCGTGCGGAAACGTAGCCAATTGTTTCGGGGAGGGTGGGCGCACGACCGGGGGGTGGGGAGGAAATGAGCGCGAACGGGGGGCGGGGGGGGCGCGCGCGATTGGGTGGGTGGGTGATGAGGAAAGGCACGCTTTGACGCGTGAACGTTCCGCTGTTTCAAAACAAACGTACGCCTCGCTGCCGACGACGATGACGGAGGAGGTTGAAGGTCGAGGTTGATGCTCAAGGTCGAAGTTCTTCCCTCGAAAATCTCTTAGTTCTGCAGATTGCCGCATAGACGCGGCGAGGTCGCGTTTGCCTCGGCTAGCACCAAGGTATGTTGACATGCTCGGGTTACTACCCACAGATATATCCATTTGCTCGGCTAGCACCACATTATGTTGACGTGGGTAGTATGAAGGTATATCCATATACGTGGCTAACACGAATGTTAATCCATATACTTGGTTTGTATGAAGGTATATCCATATATGCTTGGCTAACACCAATGTTAATCCATATGCTTGGCTTGTATGAACGTATATCCATATATGCTTGGTTAACACCAATGTATATCCGTAGGCTCGGCTAATATCTACGTATATCCGTACGCTCAGGTTAATGCCAACGTGTATACTCACTGCGTGTACCATGTTATGGGGCAAGTTTTCTGCCCCTTCTGCTTCTCTCGAACAGTAGCGTGCTTATGCCATGCCTGCCATGTGGTCTCTGTTTAATACTCTACTCTCATATTTACCCTCCTTCCATATTTACTCTCCTATCTCCCTCCAATGGTATCTACTCTCCTCCCCCTATAATATATACGTTCCTCCCCCAATGTTACGTACTCTCCTTCTCCTAGTGATATAAAGACTCTCCTCTCCCAATGTTGTCTACCCGCCTCCCCCTATAATATCTACTCTCCTCCCCCCAATGTTATCTGCGTGACTCCCCCCCCCATGATATATACTCTCTCCTTCCTATAGTGATATATACTCACCTCCTTCCNCTGCTAACGCTGGCATGTCTGACGCGCGTGTCGTTCGGCCGGTCCGCGGGGCGTCCGCAGCCACCAGGGGGCGCTAGTGGCGCAGCGCGGGCGAGACGAAGACGCGCGATTGTCACGTGTTTGTCCGAACTGTCTGAGCATTGTTAACTAAAGTGTGGTGACTATCGCAGCGCAGCTGTAATGACTAACGAGGATGGCAGTGATGATGATGATGATGATGATAATGATGATGATGATGATAATGATGATGATGACGACGATGATGATTATGGTGGTGGTGATGATGATGATGATGATGATGATGATGATGATGATGATGACGACGATGATGATTATGGTGGTGATGATGATTGGAGATACACACGTTTTCCAGAACTTACACAGGAGAGAGTTGTATAAGTGCGATATATATGATATACGTGGTGACACAATGACTCTGCATATAGTTCAGACCTCTGCCACGGTTGGCACGTCTGACATCTGCTGGCTTGTTAAACGTGGGATGAAGATGAACATGGGAGGGAAACCTTATAAATGTGTAACAAACAGAGGGAAAGATCTGATAAGTCTTTCTTTCAGACCTCTCCCTGAATTTTAAGGGAAGTCTGACGGTCACAGGGTAGACTTGCTTACAGATACGTTGACGTGGTGTAACTTGCAGCGACACGCCCGCACGGACGGACACACAGAACTCACACAGGAGAGAAACAACTGGAATAAATCTGTATAGAGTTTAGACCTCTGCCATGGTTGGCATGTCTGACATCTCTGCTGGCTTGTTAGGTGTCGCATGAAGACTTAGAGATGAGGAACACCCTATAGACATCGCAATGGCATGGGAACCTCCTGTCTGAGTCATCAAATACAACAGTAACAGCTGCAGAAACAAGAACAACAACAACAACAACAACAACAACAACAACAACAACAACAACAACAACAACAACAACAGCAACAGCAGCAGCAGCAGCAGCAGCAAAAACAACAACAGCAGCAACAACAACAACAACAACAACAACAGCAGCAGCAGCTGTGTAATCGTGCAATAACTCTGTGTGTAGAGTTCAGACCTCTGCCATCGCTGGCACGTCTGACATCTGCTGGCTTGTCGGATGTGCGATGAAGACTACACAAGAGAGAAACCGCATATGTGTACGTTACTGTGACGTCATGGAAACTCTTCTGACATTGAACTTCAGAAAGACAACAACACCAACAACAACAACAGCAGTCGCAGCAACAGCAGAAGCAGCAGCAGCAGCAACAGTAGTAGCAGCAGTAGTAGTAACAGTAGTAGTAACAGCAGCAACAACAACGTCACCATCAACGTCATCAGTAATAGAACCTGACCATCTGGGATCGGTTCTCAGACCTCTGCATCGTAATGCATCGTCTGACGTTGAATTCATCCCTCCTAGATGTTTTCATCAGCAAGAGAGAGAACAAAAGAGAGAGAAATAGAGAAAGATCTGATAAGTCTTTTTTCAGACCTCTCCCCCTTAACTTTGAAGGGAAAGTCTGAGCGGTCGCAGGAATACATGCGGACAGATATGTTGACGTGGTGTAAGCTTGCCGACATGCGCACGGACACCATTAGAATTTTCCACACACGGAGAGAAACAATGAAATAAACCAACACAGATAGCAGGCAAGTAACAAGCAGCCGCAGCAGCAGCACACAACAGTAGTAAACAACAACATCATACAAACCGTCATCATAATAGAACCTGGCCACTCTAGATAGGTTTTACCAGACGATCTGCATCGGCATGCATGCGTCTGACGTTGAATTCATCCCTCCTCAAGATGTATTCATCACCTGTAAGAAGAATAGACTGAGAACAAAATAGAGAAAGACCTGATAATTCTTTCTTTCAGACCTCTCCTTGAATCCTAATGGAAGTCTGACGGCAGCAGAGATATCTGCTGTGTGAGAGATCGCTCGGCTCGATGTCATGCACGACTTGGAGAAAGACCTGACAAGTCCCTTTCTTCAGACCTCTCCCATTAATATTAAGGGAATCTGACGTCGCAGGGAGACTTGCTGACAGATATGTCGGCGAGGCATGAGGGGCAGCGGAGACTCGCGCACGACGCGCACACGGAAGAGATCCGTAGTAAAAGTGTGTATCTGTGTGATGCTGCTTCTCATGTCTGGAGGCTAGTCCGTGAAGAGACCACACCTCCACCACCCGTAATCCCATAACTCTGTTAGAGTTTCTGAACCTCTGCCAGCTGATACTGGCACGTTGACCTTTGGCCAACAGTGTATCCTCCACATTCCAAAGGCAAATGAGTGCCTGTGAAATACCAGAAGGGAACGCCAGATACAAGATACCGAAACAAAACAACAAAACAACACAAAACAAGCAAGCAACAACACTAACAAACACAAGTACTAACGAATAACAGACAACAACAGCCACTGTATCAATATATGTGCGACTCAAGTGAGCTGTATAGATTTTCAGACCTCTGCCATGG